CGCAGTGCTGTGTTTTGGCTTCAGTCTGGCAGCAATGTTGATAAAACACCAATGTTTTAGCTGTTGCTAAGTAGCACTTACCCTGATCAAGAACTTCTCTGTCTCTCATGCTCTGCCCGTGAGGAGGGACACAAGGAGCTGTGAGGGAGCTGAGATGGAAGACCTGACATAAACTAGCCAAAAAGATATTCCCATACCACTGCACATCGTGCCCAGTATATAAATCAGAGTTGTCCAGGAGCCACCAATCGCTGCTTGGGGATAAGCTGGGTATCACTCAGCATGTGGCAAGGAACTGTATTGCGCATCACTTTTCTGTCTCTGATTTTATTCCTCTCATTTTTATTTTTAATCTCCTTTTTCATTATTGTCATTATATTTTACTTTATTTCAATTATTAAACTGTTCTTATGTCAGCCCACGAGTTTTACCTTTTCCAAATTCTCCCATCCCACAGACCGGCAGGGAACGGAGGCACGGAGTGAGCTAGCGGCCGCATGGTATTTAGTTGCCACGCACCTGAGGTTAAAGCATGACAGGAGACCATGCTCTCAGTCCAGTCAGCAGAAGTTTGCTCTTCACTGCCTCAAGGCATTTGCTTCTGGATGGGAGAGGGCCGGAAAGACAGGGAAACTGAATTACAGCTTTTAGGGATACTATTTACATAGTCATTGCATCAGCTGTTTCACACCCAATGATCACACTTAGGTGGATAGACTTATCCACTACAGTAACACAGTCTAGTCCACCAAGTAATAAAGAGCACGCTTATCCAGCAGAAACTACAAGGCAAGAGGACCTACAACATGTAATTACCTATTTGGGTCTCGATTGAAGAAGGTACCTAAAACTTGTTTGGACTTGACAACCCTACTCAGGAGTTCCCCCACCCCAAAAGCCTGTGGAAGTCTTTAAGGATCATCTTGAAGCTCAAAATAAAGCCTTAGGTTAAGGATTAGAAGTGTCTGCAGCATTTTCTAAATGTTCTTACTTCAAACTACAGGACTGCCCTTTACCAATCCCCAAATTGTGATTGAAATTTCAAGCTTGAACTCTCATTTACTGAAAAAAGTTAGATGAAGTTAGTGGAGCAGATGTCCTTCCCTCAAGAATAATAAACCATTCAAACCATGGTCAAAATACTGGTATACGATTAAGAAACTTTTATGAATGTATATATTTATGCAGACATTGCATTGATTTGGACTCCTGTGGGGAAATAATTTTCTCAAAGTAATATCTTTTAATAATAATTTTAACTAGTTAATTACATAAGAAAACCCTATGAAATACTCTTCTCAACTCCGCAGTACAGGTGAAATAACATACTTTAGCCACATCAGGATTTTTTCATCTGGAAACAATACATTAAAATGTTTAGCTTGTCCCTTTTTTTTTCTTCTTTAATAAAAAAGTCCCATTTTAAAAGCCTGAAAGTCTGTTGGAGAAAGACAATTCCATGAGCAAACACAATAACCATAAGCATAATCTCCCCCTTCCCCAAAATTTCCTGTCTACAGCCTTGTAATTCTCCAGTCAATGACTTAAAAAACACACAAGTGAACAGACAGGAGACACAGATATTTATTAGAATTATGACTTTTATTTTTATTCACTAGAGCAACACTGAGGAAAGAATTTTTACATACAGATTTTTTTAATCAACTTTACAAGCAAATATCCAATATACAGTATTTACTCTGGCCTGGGTTAAAAAAAATGAAACAAAGGAAGCAGATAGTAAGGGTACCTCTTGTTTAAGCTAGTACTGAATTTAAGAGTTCACTGACACTGGAATTATATTGTTTTTATTGTGGTGCTTTTACAGTTAAGTAGGCAGTGAGCAGCTTTACCACAACAGTGACTAAATTTCCTTGATAGCATAGTTGCGAGATGACTATACTGAGACCTACCACCAGGATCATGTATTAAATCAACTCTGCTTAGAAAAAGCACTGTAACAAGAAATAGCTATAGAAGCCCAATTCAAGAACAGATTCCATTTGTATGGCAAGAAAATGTCTATATTAGGAGTATTATATGCTGTGCAAAACCAGAAGTACTTCCCCCAACATGCAACCTACCCAAGTATGACACTTCAGAATGTGCATATGGATATGACATGCAAAGTAAATCACGCACATGGCATTCAGTTTTCTAGCATCATCACAACAAATCAGCATTTAGTTCAAGGATGAAATGAATTTTACTGATCTATGATGCAGTCTAGTTGCTATGTTTAGTTTCACTGCTATGAGATGTAAAGTTGAAGAATCCACTCTTTTTGCAACTATGTGGAAAAAGAAAAAAAATCAGTGCTATATGATATTTTCAGGGCAGGTCCAGGAGATAATATTGCACTTCTTTCCTCAAATAAAAACATATACTGGGAACATTATTCTCTAAGGGTTATGCTAGTCCTAGGGAACTTTTGCCATTGGCCTTGATTTGCAGTAGAAAGTGCTAGCTTCAGGGAAGGGGAAGGTAATAATCCAGCTGCATCATGAGTATGAAAATTCCACAGTAAAATTAAGTCATTGCACAACAAAAAACTCAGTATACTATATGAATATTTTTAAACATGCTACAGTGCTTATCGATTCTGTGAAAATGTTGTGAAGATACCTTGGAAACAGCAATACTAGACAGCAGGAGGCATCTAGATTATTTTAGGCACAACTCCAAGCAATTAAGCTCATTTAAAGTGCAGTTCTGGTTCGCTTTTTTAATGTGTGTTTATTAATTTGTTACAATGTGTAGTTGCCTCTGTACACACATACTGAACAGTAGTTTAATACTTTCGTGAATATTGCACAAGACTGAGAAATCCAATGAAAAATGCAATAAACCAGTTTCAGAAACCTAAAAAAAAAAATCCCTAAGGATATCAAATAATTTAATTTACGCATTTAAGATAATCTGCACCAGTACTGATTATGTATCTGCACCTTTCATTAAAGCAGATACATTACCGGAAAATACTTGCCTAATCCCATTTGACAAGCTCTACACAGAGCCTTCTTATCCGTCTCCTCCCAACCCCTGTCCTTCACTGAAGTGAAACTTCAAACTTCAATTTTTCTCTCTCAGCTGCCCATCTACTGACAAGCTTTGCTCATACTCTGGACTTACTATACATGCAACAGAGCCTTTCCTGGTAAAGTCTGAAGAGCCAAATACGTAGCTGTCTTTAGAGGGATGCGAACGCAGCAGATGAATAAAAACACAATTCAGGCTAGCATTTGTCACATCCGTGATCAAATCCTGCTGTTTCCAGCTCAATAGCTCACTAATCTGTCAGAACAAAATGCGGAAATGCTATAAAAAAGTAAAAAATTATACTTAACATAGAAAAAAAAAACAACCCAAAAGCCAACAAACAAACAAACAAAACCCCAACAGAATAAATACATTTTTGCTTTTCTGGAAAAAAATAATTACAAACTATCTTTTTTTATGAAAACACTGATCATCTCTTTAATTCATTCCTTAATTTTCAGTAAAGGTGCAGGCAGATATCTATACTTTTAAATGTAAACATAAAATTTTAACATCATTAATTCAGGCTGCTGATACTTCTAGAACAAGAAGCAAAAGAGTTCATGGTGAAACATCTGTCAATAGCTTTAAGTGAAAATAACCTTTTTACCAAAAATCTTACAAAACTAAAAATAAAAGCAGCTTCTCTTCAAGAAAAGTAAACGTAAAAAAATCCCACCTTCCACAGAAATCTATATGGACCAGAAAATAAACCAGGAGTCTGATCATTCCCTCAAGCAATTTTAAACTTCCAAGAAACACAGTTAGCTGCCAAGACCAGCTAAAAGTCAGTTTTATTTTCTTATTGAAAGTAAATACTTACAGCAAAAGCCATCTAATTCAGTGCTTTTCAAGGAAGGATTTTTTCCTGGAGAAAAATTGTTACAGCAATCTTGAATTGTAGTTATTTTGATCCTGTATCAACTGTAACAATGTTACCCTGGTTACTTCTTGCTTGCATTGTCTTTGCCCCAGTTAGCAGAAAGTCCTGCAGGTCTCTTATTTCAGATTGATATAATCAGTTTTGAAATAGACCTTCCTCCATACCTGTTTTTACCCCCAAGCTTTTAATTTTTCCATTTATTTGTTAGATAAAAGAATTTACAGCGTGCAAAAACTTTCTTGGGTATTAATTAGGTACTGAGAAATTCAGGTGAGAATTATGTCGTGTCGTGTTCCCCCCCCCCCAGGTATCCACCAGGATACCCCCTAATTAAAGGGCTTATATTACAGAATTTGATAGTAGATTTTATTTATGAAGTGGCTATACCTATTCAATTTAATTCTTTCAAAGAAAATACTGCTATCTCTCAACATCGCATAGCCAAAGCCTAGAAAAAATATGTTTCTTTTACTGACATGATATGCTGTCCAAGAACCAGTTTTGAGCTAAGTTATTGCAAGAGCCTATTACCACAGATTTTAAATCCAATCCAAGAACAGGAAAAAAAAAGGGGGGGGGGGGAGGGAAACCCAAACAAAAGAAAAAAAAAACCCAACCAAACCGATAGTAATATTCCAGAGGAAAGAAGACAAAATTGCAGATGGGACATAACATTAAGTGTCTGGAAAGCTTCACTGGATATGCACATATTGAACTCACAGCACAAATGTCATGGTCCCACAGTTGCACCACAATGGGCATGTATTTCCAGATCACTTTCAGAAATTATATTTCTCCTAGAGAACAGGTTGGTGTGGGTTTGGTTTTTTTTGTTGTTGTTGTGGTTTGGTTTTTATTTTTTCTTTATTTCCCCCAAAAGTTCCTTTCCAGTTATCATACACTTCTTCAGAAATTACAAAAAAAACCCAAACCGAAACAAAACAAAAAACCAAAACAAACAAAAAAACCCCAACCCAAAATAGACATCTCTGACAAACTCTTAAGAGTACCAGCTCTGGACTAGAACATAATAGGATTGCTCAAAGCAAACAAGTGGGGTTCATATTTTTATAATTAGTTGCTTTTTCATACAAGTTTTATTCTGTAAAATAGTTTCAAATTCTTACACATATGGCAAAGTTTGTGCAAAATTCAAGTCAGGTACTTCAGAGTCTTTCAATATTAAAGAAATCAATAAATACAAGTAGTACAATTAAAGTTAAAAAACATTAATTAAAATGCATGTTGTGCAACCTTGACACAGGTGTTATGGACCCCTTATTCCCAGAGGCTCCCTACTTACCAATTTGTAAGAGCCTAATTTGGAAGGTTTTGCACAAGTATCCTTAGCACTGCGTTTCAAAAATCTACCCAGTAATGTGTCTATTCAACAGACTAAAAACATACCACAGTATTTTAATAAATGATGATGTTTAAGAGAGAAGATTCACTTCACCCTGTGAAATCTGCTTATTGTCTGTGAACAGTGAAAACAGGATAAAGAATAGAGCAACTTCAGATTACAGCAAAACAAAACACAACCCACCCAACCCATCAGATTAAATAACATTAAATATGTCAGTCTTAAGATAAATACAAGAATTTTTGCATAGGCCTCTGGAATACAGAGTCAGAATTATGGCCAGTAAAACATCTGCTAGCAAGTCTAATTTTCCACTGCTCTAACCTAGTGAGTACTCAGAACCAAGAAGTTAAAACAAACAGTAATTTCATTGTCTCATAACTCAAACAAACAGAGGTAAGAAATTATTTCTGCCATCCTGAAATACATAGTGCAGCATTCTGGTATTCATGGCCACCACAGACTTCGGTATTTGCTTCATTTCTAAGAACACTGGGAAATAACAATCTTTAATACAGGCCTGCAATATAGAGAAGCTGCACAGGTCATAACGTGAGCCTCTGAACATACCAGGATGAGTAAGCAAACATTAAAGATGCTACTTTTAATATTCACTCAGGATTTGCAGGCTGTAGATAAAGCAGCCTCAAAGGCAGTCATAACATAGTAGTTTAATGTATGGCATCATTCAATGAGATGTTCTCAGTGTGTCTTTGGTTTAGGGAGGCGGGAATGCCGATTAGAGGACAAACTATCCCCAGAATGCAAACTGGTACTCTGTGTTTGAAAGTTTTCCTTTCTCTGTACCGGTGGCTTTGGGATGTTAGTCTTCAAACAGGTGTTCTGAGGCTCTGTGGATACTAGTGTGGATTTCTGACTGCTCACTTGCTTAGATTTGACAAAGGACGTAGTTGGTGGGCGAAGTTTAGACACTTTCTGACTCTGTTTACCATTTAGGTTATCCTGACCAGATGTTGGCTGTAGCTGAGCTGAACTACATAATGGTAGAAGCTCACGCTCCTTGGAAGCAGCGGAATGGTTTGCAGATCGTGCGAGAACGGCCATTGTAGGAGGCACTAAAGCATTTGGGGGCTTTGCGATTCTTGAAGTCTTTGGCTGAGAAGCCTGGTTTGTGAATGAGGGTTGACCTTTCAGAGCTAATTCAGTCTGTACCTCTTTAGCATCAGCTCGTGTGGAGGTCTGAAAACAGGAACGAGACAATAATGTACCATCTTTATTACTAGCCACCTCTCCAAGGTCTTCAGTGCTTTTGTTTTTCAAATACGATGCATTCTCATCTTTCATGCTTAACTGTATGCTCACTAAAGAGTTTACATTATTGAGGCTATTTGTGAGAGAGACATCTGCAGCATTTTGATTCTGATGATTACTATTTTCATGCAGACCATCTTTAGGATATTCACTGTGGGCCTCGATATGTGGTATTTTTATTAGTTTTCCCTGGGCGAGGTCTGTGGAACTGGGAAGGCTGCTGGAAGGCTGTAGTATTTGAGGCTGTTAAAGAGAAAATAATACAAAAATACATTAGGCCAATAAAACATCAGCTAATATTTTGACTCCAACGTGCGCTGACTGGATGCTTGATAAAGGCTGTATATCTGATTAATTAAAATCAAAACTTTGACTTTGGCAAAACATGATGGTTCATGGGATGTGTACAAATGTGACTTGTAACTTCAATGGAATAAATTATAGCAGCACTGAAATACACAACATGAAGACAAAAAAAAGAAACTGATTAGCTTTAAAAAAGAAACATGTAAAAGGCATGGTTGATGATTTCACCTAAATCTGCAAGACAGCTTAAGAATGGCACGCAAGTACTGATCAATTCTGACTCAAGTGCTTAATAAGCAAATGCAATCGCTATTACACTGTATCCATCTTGGAATTTCTCTTCACTGCTTACCCAAGTTACTATCCAAAACCTTTTAGCAGTGTTCTGTACTGTACGAGCAAGAAAGGAGTTTAATGGACCTCATGAATTTATAGTGCATCTTCCTTGTGTTACTGAAGGCAGAAAAATTGATACAGTTATGTTGTAATTAGGCTACTGATTAGACTTAGGCAAGTGCATTATTTTGAATGGATTTCAAATAGGCTGATAAAGAAACCACCTTCAGCAAAGCAGTAAAACAGAGTGCACGTGAAGCTAGAGATCATACACTACTGCACTGACAGCCAAGGGATAAAGATAACTTAATGAAGACTTCACATTTTATGTGAAGATAAAATCTAATCAGACATGTATCAGACAAGAGAACTGCCAGTACCTCTTATGGGTCATTTCTATTTTCTCTTTACTCTTCCCTGTAAAAAGACTGTAAATATTAATATGTGTGCTAGCTTCACAAACACATCCTAGAGCTGCAACTTCTATACAGGTCTTGGAGGAAACAGAAAAAAATTCAGTGATTCATGGCAAAACCCCAAACCTATTAAAACTCAAACCATAGTTTTAGCAAGTTTCAAGTTTGGATGAATTTCTCATTTTCTTCATAAAGCAGGGAAACCAAATTACTACAAGCCAGTTTTATCCCTAAACTACTCAAATTCTTACCAGCTGATTTACTATATATACATAGGCTTATATCTGTTTACTAGTGAAATATAGTCAATGAAAAAAAAAAAAGAAGCTATGTTTCTCTTTGAGAGATTTGACTAAAAATGACATTTCAGCCGCTCTTTTGAATTATTCACAACTTCTAACTGAGAAAGACAATTCTTTCGCCGGTCTTTTTAGCTCTTAGGATCAGCAGGAAGAATGTAATGATAGCTATGCATGCCAGAGTCCTGTTACATTTCTAGCACAATAGCAAGCCTAGGGATTCTTTAAACTTTTCATCTTTTCCTTGGCAGGATTACTTCTGAAAAGTGAATCCTCAAAATTCTTCATCAAGAAAAAAAATTCAATGCTAATTAAAGAAATATCAACGTTTTCCAAGCTAATTTTGATTAGCGGTTTTCCCCTTGGAATATACCAGTCCTACCTCTTAGCACAGGTAACATTTAAGCTGGACCACTAACATCAGCAAGTGCTGATGTTAGACAGGTTAAGTGTAAGAGCAGTCAGAATATGACTGTTCTGGAAACAGGGAGGAGAAGGAAAAATAAAATAAAGCCTTCAAAATTGGTGTCAAATGAGTATCAGAACACCATTTTTTATGTAACCAAAACTAGCTTAACTTTGTGATTTCCTTACACCACCTTGATAAGCTTAACAGAGCAATCCTAGGTGAAGATATTGCTGAACATAATTAATAATTCAATATACATAGAGTTACAGCTTAAAAGACCCCTAAATTCTCCTGATATTTTTGTCATTTTTCAGTGTTCATGTAGGGGTTACAGAAGTCCTGATCCTTCCAGCTTAGGAGATAAAAGAGAGATGTTAGCAAAATGATTTATTCGAGACCTCACCTTCAAAACCAAAATTGTTAAAAATGAATGCAGAAACCAAAGCAACATATGGCTGATTCCCACAAAAATACTCAACAAAAATTTTCTAATCAAACTTGAAGTTTAAAATTAGTACATTTATAGCAAACAGTATTGTATCAAATTCTAATATGTAAAAATAATTATCAGAAAACCTTCCCCCCTCACCTATAAAAGGTTTCTAAATGCTAGTCTTCAAACAATGCAGATAATTATCTGAGCATTACAAATCCTAACTTCATATCAAATAACCCTAGTTAAGCTTATCAGCAAAATGAAAAATTTCTAACGTACAGCAGATACTGGATTTGTATGGAAAACCGAGTTAAATACAAAACCAACTGAAATACAGCGAAGCAGTTAAGTTTTTGATAATGTTATTTTGAACTCTTCTGACAAAAACCAGGTAACAGTTCAGCTTTTCAATGTGCACAACTTTGCATATAAAAATAGCCAAATACATATTTTCATTGTTATTCTTCATAACCTAAAAGGGTCTAAGCAGCTTAATATCCAGGAATTTAGCAATTCAAAGGTAGGGAACATCTAGCTGCTCAGAATTACGAGGACACTAATGCCCTGGTATCATTTTTACTAAGTTGTTTTACATAGTGTATTGTTTTCTAATTTTGTATTTCTGTTTAGTCAAAGTCTGTCCAATTATCACGATTGCGGATTTTAGTATCTTCCAATTGTTACATGTGTTAACGTTCAAGATGACACTGAAAGGTGAAAACCACCACGTCCTAAATACGCAGGCAAAAGTTCATAAGGTATCCAATACCAAAACTGTATTATCTTCATCCACAGCTTACGTTTGCCTTATATACACGTTTTTCATGGACTAATACTTGGTGAATTCCATTACAAGAAGGAAGAAGGACTGAAAGATGAAGCATTCCACCTTCTAGGCACAGTCTTTTATTTCATGGGAGTCTTAAAGTTTATAATTTTAATTTCTGAGTGTGCTTTTGATAATATTTCAGAGTGGGACAGACCATGACTCCTTGTAGACTACTATGCTAACGAGACTTCCATTTTTGTCCCATAAAGAAAATATTCAGGTGGACAAACAACTGCATTTCTTTGGGATGCTCTTAAAATGTAAAGTGGGACTGTAAAATGTTTCAGGCATAACATAACTAAAGAAAATCAGATCTTCCATAATTGAAAGTACATTAGACAAAACACTGTGCACATGCTCCTTTTTTTTGCATAACAAAGCAACAGACATTTCTGTACTGGTAAGAGCGCCAAACGCTTGCATGTACTGATACACAAGTCAAAATTACTAAATTATAGTTCCTACCACATTTACTTCAGAGAAATAAGAAAGTAAATCTCTCAAACTGAACTGGCTGTCACATCATCCAGATAAAAATGACAACATATCCACGGAGAGGATTACCATTATCACACAATTATTGAACCACTGAGACTGAGTTAGTTTTATGTTGGAAAACTGAGACAAGTATGCTATATTGAAAGAAGTTAAATCAATGTGGTTATGACAGTGATATTTATTGCAATATCACTACTTTAAGATTCCCTTCAGTTTTGCTTTGGTTATTCTGTATGTCTAACATCAATTCCCAGCTTGATTCCCTACATAATACCTCTCTAGATAAAATAAAGATTTTTTTTTTCCCTGCAGTATTATGAGGAAAGAGGGAAGTGAAGCAATGAGAAATCTAGAACCACATGCACATCTCCAATAGACATGCATCATGCATAGGGCAAAATAAAACAACCCAATGAAAATGCGTGAGGAGGAGATGGGAAGAAATTTGAAGTTGTACTGTACCACGCTTTATCACAGAAGTAATGGACTAACTTCTCAACTCCTTGCCAATAGCATAATGGGAAAGCAGAGACAAGAAAAAAACAAGGACAATGATGTCAGAGGACCAAGACAAAACAAATGAGCAGTTGCCATGACAGAACCGCAACTTTTCACCATTTAAATTGCAATTACCATGTTCCCCATTGGTTTTTAATCCACCTTCCAGAAACAAAGGTAGCAATAGTGTTTAAATAATGAAGTACAGACTATATTTATAGCAAGACCTGCACGGAAGAAGCTTTGCTCTTATAACTTCAAGTCTTTTAACACAGTTAATCTCTTATGTTTTAAATACTGTTTAGACTTGTAACTAAAATTCATGTGTATAACTGTATACATCAAAAATATTTGCATTCACACACATACATGTTAGATATCTAAAATTAACAACATCATAAGAAACACTGCATGACAGATTCTGACCATGCTGCCCGTACTGTTCAGTAGCCCATCTTCCTAATGACTCACAGCCTTGAAGAGACTCCAAAATAATATGGCTTCCTTTTGGAAGGGAGATGTAGAGGATGAGGTGAAAGGAAGGCACACAAACCCTACTACATAGGTTTTTCCTTTTCTCATCAGTTCTGACATCCCCTATCTCACTGCACTGGCACAGGATAGGCTGTTATTTCACAGGCCTTCATTTGAAGGCACACCCTTGCTAAATGGGAGAAAGAAAGGCCAAATGGGAAAACTCTTATTTTCTACCTCTGACAAACACCATGATTTCCCACCTTAAATCTGTAGTATTTGCCAACACCTTAATTTTGGATTATTTTTTTTCTCCTTTTTAGCTAGCTATATTATACCAATATTTTAACATTGTAAAATAGGATTCCACAGGATAGACTGTAACTTCAAGTATCGATACAATACTACCCTAATTTTTTTTCTTTTAAAGCACTATTCACCACAGCATGAGGGTACTAAAATAACTGGTAATATGGCATAGAATTATTTTTTTCCTGCATAATCTGTATAGAAATCCCAACTTAAATAAAAATACTTTTTCTCAAGGAAAAATTACTGAAAGAAATATGTAACTACAAGGCAGGCATTTCATCCATAGATACAGATATAGGAGCAAAACCCCAACAAATATGACTAACATGTAAAAGTTTTGTTTGCAAATATAGATTTAGTTAGGTATAAAAGACATTTCTCTTTCAGTCCAATCTGCAACTACCCAACATGGGAGAAGGGAACTTTTCTT